AACCACTGAGCTAAATCCCTGGCCCTAGCATAAGGTTTATTCTTGAGGATTTTCCATGTTTCCTTGAGTAGCATCTGTACCCACTGTTACGTAGAGTGTTTTCTGTGGATGTGTGGTAGGTCTAGTTGGTTTACAGTGGTGTTTAAATCTTCTGCTTTCCTCTTAACTCAAGAGCCTAGTTAACTTATGTAATATACAAAAGCTTTTGCTCCTCGTCGCTTCACCACCTTTCCTCTCCTTTGTGTTATTATTTTCATGCAGATCACACCTTTTTAGAGTGGAAGCTGGTCAATGCAGATTTGTAGTTTTTGCCTCACAGTTGTCTTTGAACATCAGGCAGAAGAAGAAAGTTACAAAGTATGAGTTTTGTTTAATAAAACATTATTACACCAAGAGACATTACTGTTAATCCCTTGGACACCTCCCATTCTTGCCACTTTCTAAAGCAGTTCTGGAAGTCCTCTTTCAAGTCCATAGTTGTCCTATTGTGGCTGCCTAGATGTCTAGAACTGATTCAAAATGTTTACCTCTTGTGGTCATTTTGACTATGGGGAAGAGCCAGAAATCACTCTCTGCCAGATCTGGGGAATAAGAAGGATGAGGACACTCTGTAATGTCTGTACTGGGGATTGAACTCCGGTTTTGCACTTGCGAGGCAGGCGGCGGAACCACTGAACTAAATCCCTGGCCCTGTAATTTTTTTTATACCAGGGATTGGACTCAGGATATTGCACTTGCGAGGTAGGCATGGTGCTGCTGAACTAAATCCCTGGCACTTAGTAATTTTTTTTGTTTTGTTTTTGGTACCGGGGATTGAACTCAGGTCCTTGTGCTTGCCAGGCAGGCACTGGAACCACTGAGCTAAATCCCTGGCCCTCACTTTGTAATGTTTTTAACAAGCCCATCTTTTTGTTGGATGATACTAGGCAGCCCTGTTCACTGTGTTTCTGATCATACTTCGTAAAGACTCACAAAAGAGGACTTCCAGAATGCTTCAGAGATAAGTGTGTTGGAAGCAGGTGGAGGATCGTTTTGAGGGGGATTAATGTTTACTGTAATAAATTTTAAAAAATTTTAAATTTACCATATTTAATCATCCAGTGTATATTTATACTTTCTCTTATGTTTATCTATGTGGTTTCTTTGCTATTGTTGTTTATTTTTTCATGTGGATCAAGATCCTGTTTTTTTTTTTTTTTTTTTTTTTGGTACCGAGGATCAAACTTGGGTCCTTGTGCTTACAAGGCAGGCAGCAGAACCACTGAGCTAAATGCCCGGCCCAAGATCCTGTCTTCTAGCCTGTCATTTTAACCCAGGAGTCTTCCATTAGTATTTCTTCTAGGTCAGATTTACAAACAACAGATTGTTTTAGTTTATTCATTCATTCATTGCTTGGTTTTTTGAGACAAGCTCTCGCTACGTAGTTCAGGCTGCCTTGAACTGTGTGTAGCCCAGGCCAGCCTCAAATTTATAGTAGCCCTTCTGCCTCAGCCTTCCAAATGCTGGGATTACAAGCGTGTGCCATCACACCTGGCTTCTCTTTCTTTCTTTTTTTTTTTTTTTGGTACCGGGGATTGAACTTGGGTCCTTGTGCTTGCAAGGCAGGCCACCGAACCGCTGAGCTAGATCCCCGGCTTCTCTTTCTTTTTTAAAAGATAATTTTGGTAGACATAGAATTCTTGGGTGACACTGTTTTTCTTTTACCACTGTAGTTGTGCCTTCTGGTTTCCATGGTTTCTAATGAGAAATGGGCTGATAATCTTATGTGTCATACATGATGAGTCACTTCTCTCTTGTTGCTTCTTAAGATTTTTTTTTTGACAGTTTATGATGTATCTAGCTGTGGATCTCTTGAATTTTATCCTAAAGTTTACTGGTAGCTCCTGTACTTACTCAGTTCAACTATTCCTGCTAGTTTCTATTTTAGTTATTACAATTTGAACAATAGAATTTCTGTTTAGTTCCTTTTTATAATTTGTGCCCTCTTTACTGATATTCTCTGCTTTTAAAGACAGTGTTCTTGTTTCCTTTTTCTTTAAGCGTGTTTTAAGTAGTTGACTTAACTCTTGTCTAGTAGGGCTGCTGTCTGGGCTTCCCCAGGGATAATGTGTTGATTGCTGCTTTCTTTTTTCATTGTTTCATGGCAATACACTGAAAATGGGCACTTTAATTAATATAATGTCACCACTTTGCAAATTAGATCTTACATCCCTCGTATATTTTATTTCTGCTGCTTATAGTTGTTATGGTTTAGTTTAGTGACTTTTCTAAGCTAATTTGATGAAGGCTGTGTTCTTGTCAGGCATATGCCTGAATTCTGTCCATGGTTAGCTTACCGGGAAGCTATTGGTTTGCAGATATTTTCTTAAACGTCTTTATGGAGCAACTCTGTGTTCAGATTGGAGCCCACTTAAGATTCAGCAACAGCTTTAGCTCAGCTCAAGTGAGAGTGTAGGCCTTCCTCATGTCTTTCCTGTGCCTGTTCAGAGAGCTTTTCCAAACTCCTCCATAGATCTCACTACTCAGCTTTACCCCCACCCCCCAACCAGTGATCAAACTCAGGATCTTGCACTTGTGAGACAGGTGAGGTACCACTGAGCTAAATCCCAGGGCCCTTTTTTAGCTTTAGGTTAGCTTGCTGTTTGCCTCAACTGTTACCCACTGCCTCTGGAAGCCACAAAATTAAATACGTAATTGCTTCTAAATTTGTTTTTGACCAACGCCCATGGGTAAAAAGGCCTCTTGCACTGAGTGAGCTGAGTCAGGTCAGTAAAGAACCTTGGCAGTGGAAGCGTCCAGAACTGTGAGACAGGCAGGTAATAGTCCAGTTGGGATGGGACCTTAGAGAGGCTTCTTCCCCTCCTCTCCTCTGAGGCAGCTGTCAGGTGCTGCTTTTGCTGTGATTCTGACAGTTGGTTTCATGGTTCCTTTGGAGCTAGGGATACGGAAGGAGACGGGACCAGTAGAGAGTGTCAAAAAGCTTGCTGTTTAGATTTAGCCAATTTATTTCCCCTCCTTGAGTTGTTGAAAACCTTTGGTCATTTTCCAGAGTTACACAATTTTAATAATTTTTGGTAGTTATCGCTTGCAAAAATCACACTGACCTTATAGGATAGTTTTGTTTATTTTTAAAAATTTTATTGTTTTTTGGTTTTTTGAGAAGGTGTGTTATGTAGTCCAAGCTGGCCTTGAACTTGCAGCAGTCCTGCTTCAGCCTCCCAAGTGTGCTGAGATTAACCACCACACCCAGCTAGGATAGATTTTTTTTGAGACAGGGTCTCACTGTGTAGTTGAGACTGACCTGGAACTCACTATGTAGCCCAGGCTGGTCTCGAACTCACAGCGATCCTCCTGCCTCAGCCTCCCGAGTGCTGGGATTACAGGCATGCGCCACCATGCCCGGCCTAGGATAGATTTTTAAGAAGGTTTTGTTTTTGTTTTTAACATGAAGCAATACCTGCTCATATAACTGATAAAATCCAGCATTGTATAAATTGGGTCACCTGCCTTCCAGGTAACTCATAATGTCAGTTGGCAAAACTTTCCTGTGACAACAATATTTTTATAAGTACTATTCAAGTAGAAAAGAGTTGATGCCTCTGTGTGTGTGTGTGTGTGTGTGTGTATACACATGGTTCATGCCATTTTTTTTTTGTTAAAATCTCTGGTGATTGTTTGTGTATTCTAAGGCTTTTTTAGTTTTAGTTTTTGTTTTTGGTACTGGGCTTCGAACTCAGGACCTTGCACTTATAAGGCAGGCAGCGGGACCACAGAGCTAAATCTCCGGCTCTAAGGCTTTTTTAGTAAACACACTTTTTAGAAAGAAATTATTGCCAGGGATGTAGCTCAGTGGTGCCGCCACCTTCCTTGTAAGCGCAAGGTCCCTAGTTTGATCCCCAGTACCCCCCGCCCAAATTGAACAAAACAAAACAAACAAAAAAAGAGATATTATTTACTTATTTTAAGGTGCTGGGATTGAAGTCAGGGTCTTGCAAAAGTGAGACCACTGAGCTATACTCCCTTATACTTTTTTTTAAAGCAAAAAATAACATGGTACTGTATGTATTGTTTTGCCAGTTGAATAAATCTTGGTTAATTTTAGTTCTTTCTCTTTATGGGAAGGGCTGGTTATCATTATCTATTCCTTCATTTGACCCATTGCTTGCTAGGACCCCGAAGTGAGTTTGTCCTTTCTGTACTCATGATTATCTTTTCTTGATTCCAGAATTTTGCTGTTATTAGTAGTCTGCATTGAAAATCTTGTTCCTGTATCTTTTGTCCTGTGCTAGTTTTCCTTTCCTTCTCTCCTCTCTTCTCTTTTCCTTCCTTCCTTTCATTTTAATTTAAGAAATTGTTTTTGAAACAGCATATTGCTATGTAGCCAAGGCTATCCTTGAACTTGCGGCAATGCTCCTGCCTCAGTCTCCCGAGTGCTGGGATTATGCTACTACCCCAGCCTCCTATGCTAGTTTTTCTAGATTCCTGGTAGGTTTGCCAAATTAGGGGACATGCACATCTTAAATTTTGATGGTTATCACTGAAGGTTATGCCAATATATCATTCCACTGGCAACATGAAATTACTTGTTAACAGTGCCTTCTCCATTACTGGGTATTATACTTTTAAAGATTTATCAATCTCATTATCAAATTTAGCCCCCCCCCTTTTCTGGTACTGGGGATCAAACTTAGGACCTTGTGCTTGGGAGGCAAGTGCAGTGCTACTGAGCTAAATCACCAACCCCTCATTATCAAATTTAGCCATGGAATTTTCAGTTGCTTGCCAATTTCTTCCCTGCTCAAGTGAAAGGCTGAGCTGGCAGTGACCTGTGTCCCCAAGGTGGGCTGAGCGAGTTTCCTTGGATGCAGAGGCACCCTCCCCTACTTGGTGGTGTGCACCTGAGGCCTTATCTAAGACAAGGACTGGCTTGTGTGTAGTGTTGGCACTGTGTGGTCACAAACTGCCAGTCTTTTGATGCCCTCATGTTGGTGTTTTAACAGGTAGCAACTGGAAAGTGGAAGCAGATAAGTAAATACTGTCCCCTCGATCTCTTCTCAGGGTGAGTGATGCTTTTCATGTGCTCTCTGGAGGTGGAGGTGGTGCGTTGGAGGTGTTGTGGGCTGTGGGAGCTGTTCTGGGAGGTGGGAGCTAGGGCTTTCAGTGAGATGTGGGGGTGTGTTCTGTGAGGTGCTGATGGTGTTCGTAATCTGTGAGGTGAGCTTAGGGTGATCTGTGAGGTTGGGAAGGAGAGGGTTTCCTGTGGCGATGCCAGGGGTCCTGTGAGATGGAGAAAGGATGGCCTTTGCTCTGTCTTTAGTGCTGTCCTTCCTGAGACACTGGAGGCTTTGAGCTTTGGGTTTAGGCTTTATCTTTTTGCTCCCAGTTTGAAGTAGTTGCTGACTTACTGATTTTCTTTCACATCACCTCATTTTTCACTCCTGTCAGAAAACAGCTAGTGCTGTCTTGACTCTCACCCTTTGGAACTCTCAAGGTTTGGTTGTTTACACCACTGGCCACTTGCCCTTATGCAGGTACTCCATTAGCCAGACTGTCAGGCCCCCTCTCCCTGCCTGGCCTCACCCTTCATCGTCCCGGCCCTGCAGCTTTCTTCTCTCTGGCCTGCACACAGCCCAGGGCCTGGGCCTGGCTGGCTCTTGGTGGTTAGGAGGGTGGTGGTGGTGGAAGCTGGGGAAGAGTCCATCAGCAGTGGGAGCTGTGGGGGCAGCCATCAGGGTCAAAGGGGAGAGGCTGGCAGGGCCGAGGGGTGCGAGAGGGTTGTGTGAGGGTGCTGGGTGGCACCTGGGCCTCACCGTGGCCCTCCAGCCACGCCCCCACTCAGGCTGGCCCACACCCACTTAGTCATGATGTCTGTGTGCTGTCTTTTCCAACAAGCTTAGGCCCCCTTTTCCAGCCTCCTTTCCCTCCCCAGGACCCCAGTTAGAGCAGGGCTTTGTGGTATGGTATGTCTGCTGTCCTCCTGCTCTGTGCCCTCTGCCTTTCACAGGGATTGGATCTGCACTAACTCTTGCACTGTGCATGTGGCCGTCACATCAGTCAGTGCTTTTGGCCACAGGCTGTTGCAGGGCTTCCAAAGCAGACAGGTGCCTTTGGAATTGCAGAGTTCAAAATGGAGTGGCATGAGGGTACTCACGCCAAGATGTACAAAATGTTGCCTTGTTTTTTCATGTGTGAATCAAGTGGCCCTGAGTTTTCCTGGGAATCATGTGCTGATTTACTTGTGACCGGAGGCTGAGTTTTGAAGCAGTGAATAATAAAAGATCATTGTTGAGTTTACAACTTGTGAGAGCTTGAGTGGGGAACCCTCCCTGGAATGTTCAAAATGTGGCCTTTCCAGAGCTGGCTGTGGGTAGCAGGGCTTTGTCTGGTGCTTGCTGCCATGCTGTCCACATGCTGTCTCGGGGCAGGGCTCAGCACCTTGCCTGGGGCAGCTTGCCTGTGAGGGGGTCCTGCAGGTTCCATGGTGGGAGTGGTTAGGGACAGGGAAGTGGCACCTGCACCAGGAAGACGAGAGCTGGAGCCCAGGGCAGTGGGTGAATGAGGGCTGAGGGCTGGACCCACAGCTCCAGAGAAGTTGTAGGGCGAATGCTCCAGGGTTCCTGCCTCTCCCTTGGTCCCTGCACCCCTCAGTAACCTGTTGTGTTTTGCACTGCTGCAGCACCTGCTTCAAGCCTTTGGAAGCCACAACCAGGGAATGAGTGGGGAGCTGGCTGGGCTCTATGAGGCCTGTGGGCTCCAGCCTCTGCCCCGCCCCTGCCTTGGCCAGGTCCCTCATGTCTGCCTTGGGGCCTGAGTTCAGGAGTACCCTCCTTTTGTATGCCTGGGGGCTGTCGTGAGGGGAGGATGTTGGATCCAGTTGGGGTCAACTCAGAGGCCTGTCCATCTGGCTGCTTTTAAAACATGTCAACACTTTGCTCTTTAGAAACAAACAGAGAATGCACTTTGCCTTGAAGAGTTTGCTGCAGGAATCCCAGAACAACCTGAAGATATTTAAGGTGAGACTTCTATGTCATGACACTGTGAGTTCCCCACTTTGTTCAGTGTCTGTGTGAATGGGCACTGGCTGGGCTGCCTCAGGCCTATCCCTGCTGGTCTGACATCTTGTGGCTCCGTCCTGAGTGCCTGCTATCCACATAGACCTTCCAGACCCAGCTTCTCCATCCATGAGCACATGTCTGCGTGTCTGTGTCCTTGGGTTGTGTGACAGTAAAGTCTTGGCCCTTGTTGAATGGACCTGGGTCTCTGAGGTGTGATAGACAGGCCCTGGATGAGGACAGCTCTGGCGCTGTCCTCTTCTGTCCTCATAGCCTATGTAGTTGAGGTGGGAGCCTGCTGACTGCCGGTCACTGTTCCTGCTGTAAGCTGAGTGCTGACTGCCAGTCTTGGCGATGTCCACCCCGTGCTAGTCTTTGCTCCTGGTTGTTTAGGGGCCTTGCAATTTAGAGCTCATTGTTGGTGAGCAGATTCTCCAGGTCTTGTAGTTGTGACAGCACAGGGAGCATTTGCCTGCAGTGCAGCTGCCTTCAGGTCTGTGTAGCTGTCTAGGTTGGCCCCTTGGTGTCCTGGCCTGCTGCTGGGAGAAGTGCCGCATTGTGGCTGGTGTGAGGAGGAGGCCCCTCTTGCAGGCATTGGACCTGCATGAGAGGGTGCTGAGTGCGGGCCTCGTACTCCTGTGCCAAGGTATGGGAGAGGAGCGTGGTGAGCCGGAAGCCCTGTCTCCTCCCTGTTAGGTGGCCATACCCTTCATAAGTGAATGGATGTGACCAGATCTTGACCTACTCCTCTGTTCTGACTTAAAAATTCTGCTCAAGTCTCTTCCCTGCCTGTGTCCACCTTCCCAAATCCAGCAAAGAAGGCATTTCAAAGACAGGTTTTATTTATTGGTTTTTTGAGACAGGGTCTCACTATGTAGCTGAGACTGACCTGGAACTTACTTTGTAGCCCAGGCTGGTCTCGAACTCACAGTGATCCTCCTGCCTCAGCCTCCCAAGTGCTGGGATTACGGGTGTGCCACCACGCCCGGCTATTTATTTTTTAACTCTTCTTAAGGATTTAAGGAACTTGTCACTTAAATACTGAAGATCAGTTAGTCCCTTTCTTCTTGATATTTGTTTGAAGCCTCTGCTTACTAAGTCTGCATTTCTGACCCCATGGGGCCCACACTTGCCACATGCTGCTTCTAAAAAATCAGCATGGGAAACCCAAAGGTTTTGCAAATAGATAAATTTGCTACAAACCAAAGAGTCTCTACCTATTTGCCAAACAGATAAACAGAACAAAGATAGGTTAAGAGTGTGATACGAGAAGGACAGGACAGCACATGGACACTGTGTGCCGCCAGCACTGGCAGCTCTCCTGAGTGGCGCTGGTCCTGAAGGCCAGGCCTTGATGTCCAGCTCTCTCTAGTTAAGACCGGGCAGGTGTGGCCGAGGTTTATGACCCTGCACTGTACACCTGTGGCACGGCACTTGTGAGGGCTCAAGGGGTGTGGGTGTCTTACTCTGCCACCTGGGCTGGTGGCTCCAGATGCCACCTGTCTGGACGCCGACACTGCAGGGAGAGGTCCTGCTGTGATGGTCCCTCAGTCACTTGTGGGCCTAGAGGAGTGGAGCTGGCTCTATTGAGGGCCACAGATGGCCACCCCGACCTCATTTCTGGCTACGCTTGCCTCCTGCCCAGTGTGGCCAGCAGGGTCTTAGTGTGTTCCTGTCATGCTGTAAGCTTGGACAGCACCCATACGGGAGCCCAGCGAAGGAGGAGAGCTGCCCATGCGCCTGAGAGCCGCGGCCCACTCAGACCTTACCTTATGACAGCTGCTCAGCACCTCACTCTTTCTGCAGCCGTGAGTGCAGGGACAGCTTAGCTGGTTCTACCTTGAGGTCTTATCTGAAGGCTTGGCCAGAGCTGGGGGCTTCTGTTCCCACCTTTTGGGATTCCTCCCAGGGCTGCTCTGTGTCTTGTGACCCAAGGAGAGAACAACCAGGATGGAAGCCACAGCACTTTTCTTAACTTAGCCATGCAGGTGTGGTACTATTGCCTCTGTCGTATTGTTAGTCACACTGATCCCTGTCTTGGTCCTCAGCTGCCATCAGGCTCTGAGTGACTGGCTGGTATCTCTGGGACTTTGTCACTTTGTGTTGAGTGATTGCTGCATTGTCTGAGGGAAGCAGACAGCACTGCTGGTCTCAGTGCTGGAGCTTTTCTTCCTCAGCAGGAGTCACCTTTTGGCTGATGGGGCACAGCACCCGTGGGTGGGATTCCCAGTGGGCTTGTGGCCGCACCTCGGCAGGTACTGAGGGGTTTTCCTACCAACTTGTGGGATCCATGTCTCCCTGTCTTTCCTGCCTGAAGAATGGTGAGCTGATTTATGGCTGTGGTGATGCCCGAAGCCCGGTGGCTGACTGGAGGGAGCTTGCACACCACCTGAAGCCCTTCTTCTTCCCTTCCAATGGCCTGGCTGGTGGGGCCCACTGCACACGGGCCGTGATCCGGGAGCTGGTGCACGTCATCACATGGGTGCTGCTGAGCAGCTCGGACAAGGGCCACATGGGGCCCTTGAGGCCAGGGCCCTGGGCCCCACACGTCTGCGAAGCCAGCCCTTTCAGCCGGAGCCTCCACTGCCAAGGTAGGACCCAGCCTTTCCCATGCAGGTGGTGGGGCTGCAGGCCCTTAGGACTGTCTGGGCTCCGTAAGAGATAGGGTGGAGCCAACAGAGGGACTTTTTTTGCCCTGGCGGGCTTGGTGGAGCACCTGGGGTACGCCTAGTTCCACTCAGGCTCCCTGTTTAGCTGGGTTTGTCAATTGCTTGACACGTATGAGCTGTAGGTTTTCCTAGGAATTTTGCCCATATGTTTGCTCATCCTTTATAGGTGGTTTGCATAATGTTCCCAGCTGTGAAATTCCATTTGGTCCTCAGCAATAGGGCTGAGGCTGGTGCCATGGCGTGGACAGTCAGACTTGCAGGGCCTGGGTGTTGGGATTTCTCCTGAGCTGGAGCCCAGTGTGACTGTACACAGAGGCCCCCAAAGAGCTTGAAGCTGGTTTGTGTATCATTACAGATCCTCTAGCTCAGCCTCCCTCACTGCCCCCCATGTCTAGTTTTTCTTACCACAGATGAGCTTTGTGGGATATTTTGTTTGTTGTGTTATAAAAGTAATTCTTGACCCTGTCTCAAAAAATTTTTTAAAAAGGGCTGGAGATATAGCTCAGTGCAAAAGTTCTGGGTGCCTTGCTTGGGTTCAGTCCCTAGTGCCATGTTAAAAAAAGAAAGATCCCTTATGTTTTTTTTTGGGTGGTACCGGAGATTGAACTCAGGTCCTTGCACTTGCCAGGCATGCAGCAGAACCACTGAGCTAAATCCCTGGCCCCAAGATCATGTGCAGGGACACAGCTACACTGGCCACTGAGGTGGTTGGGTCTCTCAGAGGAGGCTCTTGCATCCGGTCAACCTGAATTTCCCTGGGTTCTCCCCAACACCTGTGCAAACAGGCATAGCCCTTGGATGTGCTGTACTTGAAACAATAAGGCCATACTCCACATGTTCTTTTGTACCCTAGTCTGTTTTCTTGATTAGCGTAATTAGCAAATGAAGTTTTCAACTTTTATAGGCCATGTGGCAGCTGTTCACTGCCTGAATACTCTGGTTGGGCATGTGAGCCTTTACTCCTATTTCCCTGTGTCTGTCTCATGGCTGAGCACAGCCTTGCTAAGACACCCCAGTGCAGGACCACAGCAGTCTGCAGTGGCCACACTGTCTCTGTGTAGATGCTCCCTACCCTGTCTTCGCTTATAGTTGCTTCCTTCCTAGAAATGGGCACTCATTTCGAGGGTAGAAGGGCTGGGATCTGGCCTGTTAGGTTCAGAGCATGGATAGGCATTGAACAGAGTTTTGTTTTTTCATCTGTCCTGAGAATAGGTCCTGGTCAGTCAGTGGCTTGACCACATCCATGGCTTTGCATGGTCAGTTCTGAGCTCACCCTGTGGGCTGCCAGGCCTTACCTCCTCTCAGCAAGGCTCGTGGCTCTGGACTCTGGAGACAGTCCTGGTTGTCCTTTGTTGTTTTGCAGATTTGGGGATGTCATTATGATCTTAAGCCTCTTCTTGTTTAGAATGAATATTATCTCTAAACTTAATCACAAAATGCCTTTTGGGGTGAGTGTAGTGGAATTTAAAGAATGTTCCGAGGAGAGGCACGGGCACAAAGCAAGGCTCCTGGTTCCTCCCTCACCTTTTGTTTATGCCTGGCCTGATCTATCCATTGTGGCCCAAGCTCTGTTTAGCCCTAAGCTCTGAGCATGGCATGGCGTCTGCCCTCAGCACCAGGCCGGGGCCCAGGGCAAGCCCTGTGGTTTGCGCCGGCCTATGTCTCCCTCCACAGTCTTCAGTCTTTGATAACAAACCTGCTCTCGTTTTCCCGATGTTCTTGGTAGGAAAAAACACCCCAGAGCGGTCGGGGTTACCGAAGGGCTGTCTTCTATACAAAACCCTCCAGGTGCAGATGTTGGACCTGCTGGACATCGAAGGCCTCTACCCTCTGTATAACCGGGTTGAACGGTACCTAGAAGAGTTTCCCGAGGAGAGGTGAGGTGGGCACAGGGCAGGACATGGGAGTGGGCTGGGGTGGTGATTGCCTCAACTGGAGGACAGAATGAACCCTGAGGCACCTGGCTCCTGGAAGGTGGCACGTGCTGGCTACTTCCCTCCATGCCCAGGCATCAGGGCCTGCTGGAAATGCAGCTCTCCTGTGCCATTTCCAGTAAGAAAGCTCATCTCTTGAGCCCTACTAACACCAAGGCCCCGAGTCAGGGCTGGGCCTATAGAGGGCAGTGTTGTTCCACAGAACAGCCCACTGGCCATGGCCATGTCAGGAGACCTGGCACTTCCAGGTCAAGCAGCCACATCTCTAGCCCTGCACTGGGCTCCCGGAGTCCACACCTGTGGCGTCTGATGGGATTCACGCTTTTCTGCCTCACCAGCCTTCACTTGGGTCTCGGTGGCAAGCAGGACAGGGCTTACCTGGGTTCAAGGTTCCCTGGCTCCTGCTCTTGCTGGGCTGTTTGAGACATGATGCTTCAGAGCCATGTTTGAGATGAGAAAGTGACAGGTCTGTCAGCTGCCATTTAACTCAGAGTGTGTGGTCACTTTAAGAAACAATTTCCAGGAAACTTGGTCACCTTGTTTTGTTTTTGGTGTTTTCTTCAGAAAAATGTTACAAATAGATGGGCCTTATGATGAAGCATTTTACCAGAAGCTACTTGATTTGTCCATGGAGGATGATGGGACAGTGGCCTTCGCATTAACAAAGGTGAGCAGGCTGGTTGAGAAGCAGTGTGTGCTTAGGAGCTCTTGCCGTGACTTGGGTTCCCACTCGTGCCCCTGACAGTGCCCACAGAAATAGCAGTGGCTGCAGTTTCTCCTGGAGGGGCCTGAGCCAGTGATAGTGGACATTGTGTCCAAGGAGGATTCCCTTGGCTTGGTTCTGCCCCGGCTCAACACAGGCAGGGGCGGGGCAGGGCCAGGCCCCCCATCCTGAGGGGGTGTTCAGCTCCATCTCTGCTTAGCCACTTTAGAGCACGCTCAGCGCCATCTGTCCCTCTCCCTTCACAGACACTACCTGAAGTCAGCATTTCCTTCCACTGTGAATGCATCAGTCTCTGGGGTCAGTAGGACCCCAGTCTCGCCGTAAATATCCCAGGATGTGGCTTGTGTCATTCCTGCCTCAGCTGTGACTGTAGCTGTGGAATCCATTTCTTAGGAATATTTTGGTATTTTACATTGTCTCCCTCTGAGTTGTGTACAGTTAAAAATGTTATCCTGGGCCTGGGATTTTGGTTCCGCTTTCTGCCTCGCAAGTGCAAAGTCCCAAGTTTGATCCCCGGTACCAAAAAAAAAGTTATCCTAGGAGGGGTCATAGGCTGCCAGGGGTTTTATAGGACACTTAGATTGGGAGAGAAGCCTGCTGTCAGGGAGTGAGGGACATCATGCCTCCCCTGCTCCACTGTTTGCCCTGTTGTGGGTGTCCTGGCTACTGCCCATGAAAGAGCCCAGGGCTAAGGCTGTCAGATGTTTGAGGAGGAAGAGGAGACGGAGGACGTCTTGAGCCTGAGATAAACCTCAGAAACTCAGGGTACCAGGAAGAGCTTCCTTGGGGCCAGTGGGCCCCCAGTGGAACCTGTGTTTGAGGGCAGTGTAGTGCAGGCTGCCAGGGTTACAGCTTGGGGACACTAACCTAGGAATAAGCAACAGCATTGCATTTCTTTCTGCTTTTCTCTTATAGAAGAAGCAGGATTTCCTTTTTTATAGAAAATATAAATTTAGGTAAAATATAGAATAGTTTTCAAACGTCTCCTCCTGAATAAGCATGGATAAATTTTAAATTTTATTTTCATTTTTAAACCACATGTGAATGTGGCCTTGTTGTTAGAGACTAAAACAAGTCATCACACAACTGTCTAAAACTGGTGACTCAGTGGGACAATAGAAGATGTGTTGCCAAGGGAGGCAGTGGCAGAACCCCATGGGAACAGTTAGGTGTTGTGACAAACGTGCAGCCCCTGGGCCCTTATTCTGGAGAAATGAGGACCTCCACTCACCCCAGAACTGGTGTTCACAGGGCCTTCGTGTGTACCGAGCACTCAGCAGACACTAGTTTGGGTGGCCCTCGGTGCACCTGCCCTGGGCTGCACTCACAGTACCAAGAGAGGAGCTCTCTGTCTGCGCAGGCAGGGGTTGGGGGTATGTGACTGTGAGCAGTCAGGCTCCACCGTCCTGTGGGAAGGAGCCGTGCTCTGCCCTGCATGTGGTGGCGGCTGCAGTGGCCCCTCCCTGGGATGGAACACACATGTATGGGAGGCTGGAGGAGCTGAGTAAGATCATGGCTCTTCATGATACTGGAGTGTAGTTCTGCAGGGTGTTACCACTGGAGGACCCTGGGCAGGGGTGGCCCGCGGTCTGTGTGGGGAGTGGCAGGGTGTGCTCTTCTCTCTTAAGGCCTGAGGTTCAGGTCATTGTGTCTGGAGAGGGTGCTGTGAAACTTCAGCTGGAAGGCTGAGAACATGTCAGGGCAGAGGCCTTAACACTCCTGGTGTGGATCCGACCGAGCCACATGCCCTCTGTCTTCATCGCAGGGTCTCAGGACACCGGCCCTCGGTATCGCTGGCTGCCACCTGCTATGCAGTGTCCGGAGCAGGCTCAGCAGCCTTTCTCTGGAGGGACAGCCTCAGTGGTTGTGGCCGTGTGGGCCCTTCCAAGTCTGTGGTAGCCACTCAGTTCTGTCATTGAGCCTCCAGAGTAGCCATCGACAACTCGGGAGCGTGGCTGTGTCCAGGAAGTCTGTGTCCACAGAAGCGGGGGCAGGGCTGGATGGGGCCTTGTCGTTCACCGCTGTGCTGTAGCTTGGAATTGTTCTCTTCTTCGATTTACTAGTTTGGAAGTTTCACCTTGTGTTTCTGCTCTTTGAGTGGCTTCTTGTCCCTGGCAATTTGACTCTGCATATTTGTTTTTATTTATTTTGTAGTGCAGAAGATGGAACCTAGGACTTTGTACATGCTAGGCAGGTGCTCTGCCACTGAGCTACACCCCTGGCCATTGTTGTTTTTTAAATCTCAATTTAGAGAATTGTTTTATGCAGATGTTTGTCTAAACTTTGATGTATATATATCATTCTTACCACTCAAATCATTCAATAACAGCTTTATTGAGATATAATTTACATGCTATACCAATTTGCACACTGTGCAATGTGGTGGTTTTTACTGTACTCATAGATCTGTGCAACCAGCACTATAATCAGATTTAGGAGAGGTGCATTACTTCAATAAAAACCCAAACCTATGCTTGTATAGCATTAGTGTGTTGAGGGTTTTCGTGTCCATATTCATAAAAGATTCTGAGCTCCCTTTTTTTTTTTTTTTTTTTTT